TGAGTTAGTTCAGCCATTGAAACTGACTTCTGAGGGAAGAAGTCTAGGAAATTCTGGTCTCTGATTCTGATAATTTCAAACCTTTTTCTTTTTTTTTAATGTTGTATCTAAATTGTTCTAACATGGAAATATCTAAAATGTTACCAACCTGGGAGTTAGCAGTGTCTAAAATATGAGCCACTGCATTGTGGTTTTGTTCTGCTGGTTGTATCACATATTCAGATTGACTCCATCAGCCTTACCAGAGTTACTGGAGATTTACACTGTTCTAACAAAACTAAACCTGATCATGCCTTCTGTTACTGCAAGCACTGTTGTAACTGCTTCAAAACAACAATCTGATTTAATAAGAACAGTACTGCAGTCATTTATGGGTCTGCCAGGAAGAACAAGCCCTGCTTTTTTCCTGGCTGGACTGGGTGGGGAATAGCAATTGTATCGCAGTATTACATAAGTAGAGAGCAACAAACCAACACATGGCATTGAAGCTGACAGCAGTTTGTGTACATTTTTTTTTAAATAACCCTAGCAAATGGGAGGAACACAAATAAGAACATTTTCCCAGGAACTGCTTAGAAGAAAACACCGTTGTTGGGCAACTTCTCTTCCTATATTCAAAATGAATTCGCCAGTCTTTTGTTCCTTCAAATATGTATGGTTACATGAGAAACAAATAAGCAATCTGTTTAAGATACAAAAGCAGGGGCAGGTTTAGTAGGCTGTTGAACCTGAGCTGTAATCAGAGGGGCTTCTGGTACTTGGTATATAAGGGGATTAAGTGGTATCTCCTCTGCAGTGTTTGTCACACTTTGTATCCGAACAGAAGCACCACGTATCTGAGGTAAGTTTTGGTTTTCCATTTTTTCATCCTTCTACTGCTTTATATTTCTAAACTACAATGTTTCAGACACTAACTTAAAATACAGTCTGCAGGGTAGTATTTGTGGACAGTTTTTCACTACTTATCAAGCCAAGTTACATTATTTTTCAAGGGAAGCACATATATAGAGCATTAGACAGAATTTGATGATTTAGTTTTCACTTCTGACTGGACAAATGTTTATTTTCCTTTGGCTTTGAAGACTGAAGGACTTCATTATATGTCTAGATAGTTTTTTTGGCTTACAGTATTTTGGAACTATTAATACTTTTATTTGGAGTTAAGCATAGAATTTGTCAAAGCAGTGCTTTTACAAAAAGGTTTACCAGACCCTTCATAGATCTTAGCTACTCTTTTAACCAGAGACAGTATATCTGTCTATACTTTTTATGTTGTTGATACTTAAAGTAAAATGCTGTTCTGTTGTAAATATGTGACTAAAAGTCTTGAGTTAGACTGTAATAATTTTTCAGTTTTAGTAGTCTTATTTTTTGCTTAATTTCACTTAAATTTCACTAATTTTAGTGCAACTGTGAATGTTGGGCACCCTGTGGGAATTCAGGCAAATCTCAAGGTGTTTCTCAGTTGTAACCAACATTTTAGCAGTACAGTAAAATGATCTGTCAACTATTTTGGAGGGAAAATATTTTTTTTAATGAATCTTTACTCTTTTCCTTTGCATTTAAGGAAGAGCATTTTAATATTTTCTTCTTTGAATTTTAAAATAATTACCAAAATATCTTCATTTACTTGTCTTAATGATCCTGGGTACTATATGGTTGGTGTAAGAGCTCCCTCTATAGGTTTTATTTTAAATCTCAGTTTAGGAAAATAAAAAGGAAAGGAAATTCCACTTATTGTCAGTGCTTTATAAACATACTCAGTTGAACAACATTACATGATTTTCAAAGAGCAGGATTTTATGGAAAGAAATCCATAGATTTTACCAATGGTTAAAGTATGAGAATGTAATAATATATTACAGATTTTATAGACTTACTTTTGTTTTTACAAAAAAATTATACTTTTAATAGCAGCCCAATAAGCTGTGTAACTTAAGCTGCTGTTTTATGTAGGAGTAACACAGAATTTTCACTTTTGTAACTACGTGTATACCATTAACAATGAGTTGCTGGTCTGTGTCTCATGGGCAGGTGCTCAGTGCTGTGCTAGTTCTGATATATCCACGTGCACATAAGGTATTTTATGTTATAGCTCTGTTACAAACACAATTTAGCACGGCATTGTATAAGATCATATTATATGAGGTTTCTCTTGAATAACTTAAGTGGTCTTTGTAAAAAAATGGTCTGGACTAACTGAACAGCTGACTTGAGGGAGAATATTAGAAGTTTGCATTAACTTTCCTTTGTATGTAAATATTGATTTGGTATATAACTATTAAATAATAGTTATTAATAGTTAATCATAAACATATCGTAACCAGAATTCTGAAATTTATGTCTGTACTAGTCCCCTATTCAGCATTTCTCATGACATGGCATTGTACACACAGAAATAGAAAAATTGATAATGCTTTAAAAGGAAATGTTGAGCCCTGTACACAAAATTCAGGGATTATAAAATAAATCCTCATTGGCATTCATATCAGAGCATTTGGCTTTCAGAGATGAAAATGAGGCCTATATACATATATAGAAGCAAATTGTTTGGTTGCAAACTGATGGAATTATTATGGTCATTATTACAACTAAACACTAATTAAATAGTTCGAGGCAATTAGTGAGGATAGTGGGCTGGAAAGGATTCTCATTGTATAAACTTTGTATAATATTTTTCTTGGATATCACTGCTGTTACTCTGGATTTGCAAATGAGAGAAGAATTTTGCCCATAGTCCAGTTAGAAATGTTCTATACTCTTGAGAAAACAAGAATGGGTTGGAACATGCATATATTATTGATGTTTCTAGTTCTTACTCTCATACTGTTCGTAAATAGAGTTTGCAAATAAAAACCACACTAGATTTATGACAGCAAAAAAAGTCAATTAAAATGTCTATTACTATGCTTTTGAATACTCTTCCAACTTATTTGTAAATAGGAAGCCACTAATAAATCTGAATTGGCTCATGAGTCAAGCATCTTATTTATAATTGCCACCTTCCCAGTCTTCACAATTAAAAATTCTGTCATTAAAAGCAATAATGTTTAAAAGTTTTCATATTTTTGCTTTATAGGAATTTACCAGCTGCATAAGGAAAACACTGTTTCCTTACACCTGTGTGTAGACCCTGAAATAGTTTTGTCAGTGACAGCTAGAAAGGAACATCATAAATTATAAATAAACATTGCAAACAATATTCCTCTAGTAGCCATGACTTCCAAGAGGGTCTGAGGACTGCTAACTCTCTGAAATAGTGCAGAGAAAAATAGAACAGCCATATTTTTAATTTATCTAAATCTGCTACGAGGAAATTACCTTGTCACAATGTAGTGTCTAATTCTCTTAGGGACAGACCTGTAGTTAAATAATTCTAGTGCTCAGGAGAGCTAGACAGATTCAGCTTTTCTTGCATGAGAAAGAGGAGTAGAACTGTATCTCCCAATCAAAAGAGCTCTCATAATTGAACAGAAAAAGCTAATTATTACCATTTCTGGTGACTTAAATTTTTTGCAGGCCCTGCTTTGCACAAGAACATGTATGGGCAAATCCCCTTCAGGTGCAATAGACAAGCCAATGGCTTCAGGGCAGAAGAAACCTTGGTCACAGAGAAGTGTTCAGACATCTAGGAAACTTAAACAGAAACTGAATAGGCCTATGTGTCTGTTGGTGGGGCTTCAGGACTTAGGGATTGCATGAAATAAGCAGTAAGTTTGAAGACCTAAATTTTGGACGTACATTCTAAATATGGAAAGCAAATTGAACTCTAAAGTTTTTTTTTCCTTTAAAGGAAGTAACTATGTGCTCATTGAGAAAAGGGCTGAAACAGTAAGTGATGCACACTTTGTGGGGTGGGAAGCAGAATTGTGGTTGAACCCTTCTTGTTCTGTACTAGAGCTTTATTCTGTATTTGTGATAAGATGCAGAAAGTATCATGCATGATAATTTTTCGACAAATCAAGGCTTCACTTCAGTAGTAGAAGAGTAGATGTGGCTTAAGGGAAATAAAAGTATTATAGTCTAGCCAAAAGAAATAAAGCTGCTGGGATGGGCAGGTTTATTACCATGTAGTTTGGTGTAGTAGTAATAGACCACAGCAATTGTAACTTATGCTCCAGTTATTTTCTGCCTCTTTGATAACATCTGCTTTGTAATGGATTGGCAGGTGGAACCAATTGTCCTTTGTCTCTTCCAATTCCAGAATAATTTCTCTTCAATCTTTAGTGTGTTCTGGGGTGTTTTTTTTCTTTTTTAGCTTAATTTTTCTCTTGTTTAAGCATTGTACTATTTTCCACTTCTGTGATTCCGGCCTTAAAAAGTGATACTTAATGTCTGATTTTACAACAGGCATGAGAATTGGTTCCTGAAATGGAGGTGTAGGATTTCAGTTTTTGTTTTCAATATTGTTACTACTTTCCTGAAAAAAGTCTTGCGCATCCCATTCTCCTCACAGTGCAATATCACATCACTACTTTAAATATGGGGGGAAACAAGTTCAGGCAGAATGTGTAGAATGAGTAGGCTAAAACTGACTTGTTTCTATTGAAAGTGTCTTCAAAGTAGGGTTGATCATGCTTGATACAGGATTTGTAATCTGAACAGGGACTGTTAAAATCGCCTAGTAATCTCCTGCATCTGTGTCAGGACCAAGGGTAACTGAAATAGAATGGCAGAAGACAGCTTCAGTCTCACAGAAAATACTTATCCAAAGCATTTAAAGAGAAGATGTCTCAGTCACTTATTTACCCATTTTCTGAAAACACACACAGGAGATAATAAGGACATACAGTCTTACCAAAGACAGCTCAAGTTCAGCTATGCTAAGCCTAGAGTTTTATAGTTCTAATGAATTGTTTGTAAATACTGTTAGGTAGAAAAGGCATAATAGTTTGTGAAGCAGATTCTGGTGTGGTTGCTTGCAACAGTAAGGAAGTGGACTTTATGACCTCACATTCTTCTAGTCTTGTTCCTAACTATATTTTTCTCTTTTATTGCAGCCCGGAAGATGGTGAAATCCATCCTGAAATCTGTAGACTATATATCCAGTTACAGTGTTGCTTAGAAATGTACACAACAGAAATGCTAAAGTCCATATGTCTGCTAGGATCGCTGCAGTTTCATCGGAAAGGTACTGGATTGCTTGTTTTAGAAAAAGAACAATCTTTTGGGGCATGCCTGGATATTCATGAAAGGTGAAACACTGTCCTGGTTTTGAGTGGGGTGGAGTTAATTTTCTTCATAGTAGCCATCATGGGGTGATATTTTGGATTTACACTGGAAGCAGCATTGATAATACAGGGATTTAGTTTTAGTCATTGCTAAACCCACACGAGGTCAAGAGCCTTTTTGCTCCTCACCCCATCCCACCAAGGATGCTGAGGGGGCCCAAGAAGTTGTGAGAGGACACAACCAGGACAGCTGATTTCAGCTGACCCAAGGGATATCCCAGACCATATGGCATCATGCCTAGCATATAAAGAAGGGGAAGACGAAGAAAAGTGAGGATATCAGTGATGGCATTTGTCTTCCCAAGTCACCATGAGGTAGCCTTGTTTTCCTGGGGATGGCTGAACACCTGTCTCCTCATTGGGAGAGATGAATAAATTCCTTGCATGGCTTTTGCTTTACGTATTAAAATTGTCTGTACCTCAACTCAGGAGTTTGCTCACTTTCACCCATTCAGTAGTCTCCCTCATCCCACTAGGGTGAGCAAGTGTGGGGCTTCATTGATGTCCAAGGTTAAATCACAACAAGCACCAGACTGTAAAGTGAATTTTATATATATTATATCTATACGTAGGTTCTATAGGTATCTATAGGTAGGTCCTATAGGTATCTACAGGAACCTATCTATAGGTTCATCATCATTCTTACAGAAGTGTGTCTTATCAGGTATGTACCAGTAATGTCCTCACCATTTAAAATTCTTTTTTTAAAAAAGTAGTTCCTTAAGTTTTAGGTGTCATTAGTCAGATGAGTGGGCAAACTTAGTAATGTTATTAGACATATTTGTCAGGCAAGATATGTTATTAATAATGTTGCTGTTACTATTAGTTTTCTTATCTCACTGCTGCTTACCTCTTACTGCTGGCTATCTCTTACTGGTTCCAGTAAATTGTTCTTATCTTAACCTGTGATCTTCACCTGTCGTGCCTCCAATTCTCAACTCCAGCCTGCCCCAACAGAAGGAGGAGGGGGAGAGTGGCCTGTGGCTTAGGAGAATATCACTGATAGCACTAAATTGCGGAGTATGATTACTAAAACACTACCATAGCAAAAGGTAGATAAATATGGTTCAAAAGATACCCACCTTTATAAAAACAAATACTAGACTTGGAAGTGAAAGGAGATGTCCTCACTTCAGTGAAAATGCATGTCTCAAGTATTTCATTCTTGATTAGGTGCCTACTGAAAGGAAGATGTAGAAATGCTGATAATTTACTGTATAGTTTACTTAGTAACCTCATTGCTCAGTGATGACACAGGTTGATTAGGGCTGTACCTGTGCTGATTGTAACTACTCTTTCCCCAGATAATATCTCATCAATAAAAAACTAGGTAAAGCAAGGAAAAGTTCTGTAGTGAACTGTAATAAAGATCTTGTAATGAACCTGTTGCATTTTCTGTCATGCTAAAAGATCCTGTAACATACTTTTCATATCTACCTGTAGAATGCTGCTAAAGCCAGGGATATTTTTATTACAAAAGTAAGAATGGGAGATTTGTAAATGCTTAACTGTGGTTCTCAATTATTTTTTGAAGTCAAAAATAAGTCTGTAAAACAGGAAGAGAGAGAATTAGCAGAGTCATTGTAGAACAAGATAATAGTAGCTGTTGAAATGAGTCATTGTTTTTAAGACAGATTGTACTGCATTTCCTAGCATTGGCAACAGTTGTCAAACCATCTGCTGAACTGCTGAAAGTAAATAGCTTAAAGTGACCTGCGTAACTCTGAAATGTCTTGTCTCTCCCTTTTGCTTCTGGGTGGAATTTGCATTAATAATTTAAGCTAAACATCAAACTATTCAATGTCTGAAGTTGGATTAGAGGAGGAGTTACACCTTAGTTCCTACTTGCAGTAGGTTAACTACTGATATCTGTACTGATATCTACTAGATATCTGTTTCACAACTCACCACAGAGATCATCATGTTACTTATTCTGGCCCTACCGAGTAGTGATTTTTGTCCTTGCCAGATAGAGTGTTTTAGAGATAAACACAGTAACTTGGCTCCAAGCTTCTGTGACATTTTTTAAAAAATACATAGGAGGCAAAAACTATATGACAGGGATGACAGGGATTCAAATAATTTGAATACCTAATAGACAATAGCTTCTTTTGTATTAAATATTTAGTATTGGCAACACCTAGAAGTATTGCAAGGGCATCATACAATGATGGAAATTCCAGTCCTGTGTTAATTGTTTTTTCACCATGAAGGTAGCTGCATGCTAGACAGGCACCCAGAGGGGCCGTGAAATATCCATTCTTGGAGATGCTGATGACTCAAATAGTCCTGAGCAGTCTGATGCAAGCTAGCCCTGCTTTCAGTGGGATGTTCCACTAGATGACTTTACAACTTATTTGTTCTATGTTCTGACAGAACATACCATTTTCAGAGGAGCATTCTGAACCCATACTTTTCATTGATTTCTTTATTTACAGAGAATGATAGTTTAGTGTAGGCAAAGTGCATAAATTTATCTCTAGGAAGGAAAGAGAAAATAACTTCACCATTATAAAATATATTGTGATGCTGCTGTGTTTTTTGTTTCTCCACTTGTTTAGTTTTTCACAGTTTTTCATCTGAGTGACCATATGAAAAAAAGTTTCTTGTGTACAAAGAGTACTGCCCTTAACTTTTGCTTAACCTGTAAATGTGCATGTCTGGTGTTCTTGTTCTGTCTTGAAGCTAATTTCTGTGGGTAATATTTTCCATGTGGATATAGTATTTCCCTTCTCTAGCCCTCTTACTTGCCAGACAATTTGTATGTTAGGTTTTTAAACCTCCCATGAGATTTCACCAATTCATGTTCTTACTCAGGACACAGCAGAGATTCAAGTAGAATGACCTGCAGACTGTTCTCAGCAACCTGTGGCTTATAAATAATAATGTAGGTATTGGTATCTTGATCAAAATTTATCAAATAAGCTACAGAACTGGTAAAACTAAGGCAGTTTGCTAATGCTGATGTTCTTTTCCTAAGAGAAACTCAGCTAGCAGAAAAAAAGATTTCTTACTAGGAAAGATATTCTTTTAAGGAAACACCACATAAAAATTTGAAGGTCTGAGCTCAGGGTCTTTGACTGCCTTTCACAGCACATATCTTCTCATATCTCCTTATCTTTCTTTTCAGCTGAACAAATATTCCTTTATTTGCTGTATATATATATAAATCTTCCTGTACAGAAATTCCTTGCATGGTTACAGTGTTTTAGAATAAATTACTGCTGTTATAGAACTGCTACTAGAAAAGTCAGATAGTCTGTTATTTCTTTGAGATGTAACAGCCACGGTGGGGCCAAAAGCCATAAATATTTGCAGCTATGTTATGCAGTAAGTAAACTGAGGTAAGTGCTCTTCAATAATTTTTCTTTGTAAGATGCCTACACTACAAAAGCCCATTGTTGAGAATATATTCAGCAGTTCAGCATTCAGAAAGTTTGCAAAGAGCACAAGGAATCATGCGTAAGTATCTTTAATTCAAGTGTTTTGTAGTTACTTTGTCTGGCTACCTGATAATTTATTCTATTACTCCTCCTTTCCATAATGCCAGGAGTTCTGGCTAACTAATACATATATAAGTACTTACGTGGGCATACATCTCTCTTTTATCCTAATTGTTTAGTGTCATATATTTTATTTATTGGACATCATGAAGAAAAAATAACAGTTATTGAGATGTGTGAGTCCCACCTGACATGTATAAACAACAGATGAGGGCAGAATGATACCAGCACAAACCAAAGTACAGGTACCTGTATAGTCATGCAAAAAAGGCAAGAATTGAATCTTACAGGAAAATCAAGCATGCATACTACTTGTGTTTCATGTAAGAAATTCATATAGTTAATTATTGTATTTCCAGTGTTTGTTTTGTGATAAAAATATGTATTTTCTTAAAATAGTACCTAAAAGTGATACCTTATTTTACAAACTACAAAAATAAACCCCTGGTTCAGTGGAGAGATTTTTTGCTTTTTGGTTTCGTTTAAATGACATGCTTTTTAGAGTTTTGAAGGGGAAAGGAAGGATTATTTAATGGTTGTGCTACAATCTCAGTGTTCTATTTAAAGACTGGTAGTTATGTATTATTACTTACACATATCACTTATGCAAGGAGGGTTAAGATGCAGGAGTGTAGAAGAGCACACAGGTATGGAGAAACAAAATCAAGAGACACCCATTCTTATGTGCACCCTATGAAGAAGTGAAGGAATGGGACAAGAACAGCCATGGAAGGAGGGTAACACAACTTTCATCATAAAATTGTTGTTCCTATTGCATTTTCTTTAATAATAGTATTTCCAGTGAGACAGTCTCCAAGTTCTGCAGGTCCTGAGTGTAAATGGAGAATTAAATTTCTCAGGCTGTTAGCCATATTTGTCAAATACCTTTTTTTACTTCCTGAACAATTCTTTCCTATTCCCCTTTCTAGATTTTCCTGCTCATGCACTTTAGCTGTGATAGATAGTTAGTGCATTTATCCTTAACTGCCAGGTTAGAAACCTGATGTAAACACTGCTCTCTTTTTGAGAGAGGGGTTCTCTCAGCTTTGTTAGTCTGGTATGCCACCCAAAGATCTAAGTTCCTCTGCAGTGAAATACTGAGGGGACTTTTTTTTTTTTGTCTTTTCTTTTTTTTCATTCATCACAGTTCTGTGCGAATTAGGTGATGACTAAGAGTAGGTGCCTAGGGTTACATGAAGAGAACTAACACAGAGATCACCACAGAAGCAATAAGGGGCACAAAAGGTGAGACACATAAAACCAGATGATGCATGTAACCTTACTGAACTGACAGTTTTCTGCCCTCTTATTTATCCATACTCAAGTTTGATCCTCAGCATTACTTAACTAAATTGATTTAATTTCATATCAAAAGCATTTCCTGCTTCTTACAGTAAAAAAAACCAAACTGAATTACTGATGAGAAAAGAAATAATGTATCATTGCAACTAAAATTATTAAAAATCTTTCCACTGACTACATTGAAAGTAAAATTAAGGGTTCATATCAATTTTTTGAAGTATCTATGACAGAAGATATCTTTACCAGTGACTGTAAGGATTTAGAAGCTTTAGTTTCCCTATAGGCTGTGACCAGGGTAGAAGTGTTAAGCCTGAGTCATACATTATTCAAGCAAAGCCTTTATTATTAGCTGACTCTTCAAGTGCTTTCAAGAGACTGAGCAAATGATCTGAAATTCAAGAAAGGCTTCATGAATTGCTCACAATACAACAGAATTACTGGTAATCTTTTTCCAGGTAAAAAGAGATCTGTGTAGTTCATTCTGCTAAATCTGCAAGAGCTTGTCTTTGTGCTGATGAAAAGAACATTACGGTCTCTGCTTCTGTTCTCAAGCTGAGAAAAAGAACCTTTACTATTATTTCATCTAGTGTTGTTACTGTTTCCATTGAAACACCTTTCACATCCCTGAAGAATACATCTCTCCAGCGTGTCACCAAAGGTCAGGTCAGGGTTCCACCATAACACTTAAAGATAATGGAACAATCTCCATACCCTGTTTCATGAGTAATGCCTTCTGATATCAGTGGCACATAAGATGGTTTACCTGAAACCTTTTTAGTGAAAAAGTAATATGTGAGATATCGGTAACATTATGTTGTGCTATAGACTTCTTGTAATGGGAAAAAATAATGAAGCTTATATGATTGAACAATGAAAACTGTACCATAAGAATCACCTTAAAATAACAGCATAAGCTGCAGTTAAGGACAAGAAAAATTTGAAAGTTAAACCTACAGGATGGTTCAGAGTATAAAACATGTAATCTGTGAAGCAGGTTTAGTCTGCTCTTCCACAAGCAATTGAATAATCTTTCAGCATAACAGTTTGTAACCAACAGAAAGGTTTTGGTCTCTTTCTCTCTGTTTTCCCTCCCTTATAATTCACTACTTCTTCATTTCCACTGCTTTTGGAAAAGGAGTAATATGATCATCCTTCTTTGGAACTTGATCCTGGACATGTAGGGTTTTTGACTGACCTCACATAAACAACTTCATCAGAAAACATCACATTTTACTTTTCCTTTTGTTGGGGTAATCTATCATTTCAATTGTGGTTTACAGAAGGATTTGACAAAGCATAAGTTAGCAGTGGATGCCAGTAAGCAGCAAAGAAGGGACACAGGAGATTCTTTCATGGAGGCTAAATTTGTTATGGTCGCGTCATGCACTCTTTAGGATTCATTTAGGTAACTGTGGGCTTCCTATTGGATTTGAAGAGCATTAAAACATAAACAAGTATCCTCTGTAACATAAACAGCATCTAGTTTGAGACACGTAGCTAAGAATAACTTTTTTTCTTTCTTTTTTTCAAGGAAATAATTTACCAGAATGCAACTATTTAGATAACTTACTGGATCTTAAGATAACATTAAAAAAATGTTATCTTATGATCCAGGAAGTTCTATATTTTAAAGAACAAGTTTAGCTCCCTGATAGCAGGGATATGCATTTGTGATGTGGAAGAGCAGTATACCATGATCTGCAGTTTTGGCCTCTAGAGTCCCAGAAAAATGGCCTGAATGACCACGACTCTATTCGCTGTTCTTGTTCTTCATGTACTTTGTCAAACCTTACAGGAACTACTCAGATTTGTACTGATGTCAAAACTTTTCCAGTTGCAACAATTGTGAAATGAAAAAACATTTCCTATGCAACTTTTTGTACTACTGGTTTAAATGTTGACAGTCTGGGATGCACTCCAGTGTGAATTTTCTTCTGTATTTGGTGCCAGAATTGTTCTTGCCACTACAGACAAGAAATGCTGTGAGGTAGTCCAAAGGAGATTTGCAGGTTTACCAAAATAATCTTCTAATGGTTAACTTTCTTGAATGCTCCATTATCATGATCCAGTCCTTTATCCCATTCTCTTCCTCACAAAAGCCCTGGAAGATCTGTCATGAAGCACCCCCCTTCAATTTCAACACTATATTTAATTTTCATACAGGGAGCATGAATTAGGTATGTGTCAACACAGAAATTCAGAATGTAATGCATTTGGGCTGTGGGGGGTGGCAGCTTTATATTGCTGTTAAATCATAAAGTACAAAATTTCACATTTTTGTCTTTGGTCTTCCCTCAGTATTGCTGTAGTACTTGAAGACAAGGATTGCAGTGTTCTTTAGTGTCAGACTTTTGAAGTTGTTTCCAGAGTGTGTGTTGTAGTTTCCTCACTTATTTTGTTCTGTTTTGTCTTCTGGCTGTTACTTTGTGTTCCATGAGAGCCACTGGAATTCAGTTGAACCCTTTTAAATTGGTATGGGTAACATATGGCAGCACTGATTTCTACCTTGGTGTGGTCTGCTCTGCTTCTGAACAGTTCTTAGAGTTTGCATCTGAGCAGTCTTTTTCTCCATTTGTATTGTGCAAAGTCAAGTTCAAAGCATCAATTAGATAGTTTGAGTATCTGTATTAATCAATAAATAATAGGCATACATGTTTTGTTTAAATATTTTAAAGGAAAAGAACCTTGTGGCCCACCCAAGATCTTAGATACTAAAGTGGAGGAGAGTTCTGAAGTACCTATTTTAGAAGACACATCATTATCACCAACAGATATTCAACAGCATCTATGGCAGGTTTCCACAGATATTGAAAACACTGAAGGGTATGTGTAGTACTCATTCCTAAACAAACAAATTTCTTTCTAGGATTTATTTATTTTTTTTTTTAATTTGACAGCCAGTGTTGCTACTATGAAAATTATAAATAAATTAAATAACCTGTTAACTTTTCTGGTACATTTAACAGAGTTTTTGATTTTGTGAAATACGCCTGAAATATGCCAGACTCCAGTTATGCATTTCAAAATCAAAACCAAAGAATCTAATTAATTTCAGTTAGTTCCAGCCATAGTTTTAAATTTGGAAGTTTTAGGAGGGGAAGGGGAATGTTGTAGTGGTATTATCTTACTCTCTTAACTATGCAGTTGAAATACAAAAATGAGACCCTTTACTAGAGAATAATCCTGATGGCCAACATTTCTTTGCAAAAGTCCTATTTTGAGGCTTTGTATACTAAGTTGCAGCTGAGATTTGAATTGTTAACATGCTCATTTGCATAAAGCCAAGTTCTGTCCTACTGGGCCATAGTGTGGAGAATAAACAGTGCAATTTTTTATGCACTAATGATGATACTAATCATGCTGCTGCATTTCTGAGAACCATTTTATGTGTAGAAGAATGAAGCAAGAACATACTGGATTTAAATCCTGAAAGCATTAAGACTTTACCAGCCTGTAGGTCTGCCATCTGTGTGCTAAATGGAAACTCTTTGGAAATTTCTGGCCTCTTTCAAAATGTATCAAAACGTGATTTGCTTATGGAGATGATGTGTTGTTATCATATTTTCCATCATCTGCCTTCTAGAAAATCTAATGCCAGAGTCCTCCCAAGGAGGTGAGAATGATAGCCCTATTCCTAAAATTTTCATATAATGTGCTGTGTTAAGTACCAAGGGTTAGTTGCATATGTTGTAATTTTCTTCTGAACAGTGAAACACATTCATGGTGCAAGCTACAAAATGCTGATAAGGGGTATGAAGGTTATATTAGTACTAGGTAATATTAATTTTAAGACATATTGTGTATTTTGCCTCTAGGGTCACATTGTGCCCCCAGAGGCTTTTAATGTTAAGTACTCAAGTGCCAGAATAGGTCATAAATTTGAACTAGGAAGTTAGTATCAGACTTTTATAAAAGTGCTCCCCTATTAATTTCATTGCTCTTTCTTTTGGTATGCATCTTTTGAGACATGTATGTAAACCAAATGCTTGCTCAATAGATTTTTGTGTTTATTGCTCCATTGTTTTTGCATATAAAACTGAGCCATACCCCATGCAGTCTCCAATTGTTGTTCCATTGTATCTTTTTAAACTGTTGTATCCACAGAGATATGAGAGAAATGAAAAACCTTTTAAGTAAACTCAGGGAGACTATGCCTTTACCATTGAAAAATCAAGGTAAGTTTTGAATTTTCTTTATTTAATACAAATTAAGATAATTTAAGGGTTTTCCTTTCTTTATATACAAAAAAAATATGCAGTCCTTTTATGGAAACTACAAAAAGAAAAATCTAGGTAAAATCTCTTCCCTGCTGATTTAGTGGAGCCAGAATCTAGTATGTGATTTTGGCCTCTTGACTTTCACATGAGATATTCTGGAATTTATAGATACAGTATCTGTAGATAAAATAATAGACTTTTCCTGGTGATACAAAGGCAGGAGCAGAACTACTTCGCAGTTACTGGAGTCCTTCTTTCTCAAAGGTAATGAAGGTGCAATTTGCACAGACTATGACAGGGATCCTTGGATCCTTCTGAGTGATGAGATTTGCTTCACCTCTACAAGGCTTATAGCTTCTGTGACCTGACATTGACTTTCTGTAGAAAAGCTACTTGCCCTGAGTCTGCCACCAGGCTGCTTTTCCCACAGACAGCTATCAGGTATCCCGTAGAAATGCACAGGTGGGGAGGGTCTCCATCCTATGCATGTATTTAGCAATGGGCCTTCATTTTGTTGGCATGTTAAATACTCCACATCTACAGGCACACTCTCTTTTTTTGTGAGAACAGCAGTAAGATAATAATTTTTCTTTTTGATTTCTTCTTGATAATGGGTGTTCCTTAAATGTGGTGCAGTCTTTGCACAGTGGCAGCTGATGAAATGTATTGAATGTGTCCTAGATCTTATCCCAAGTAACTAAGCAGCCTGGCATTCAGCATAATATGCTAAGAGATGAATATAGAATGATTGTATTCATTATTCAAGTAAGATTTCATGGTAGGAGAGCTTGATTGAAAACTATGTTGAAAGGTAAAAGGGAATCACTAGTGATACAGACGTACCATTGTATAGACTGGAAGAGTGATGAAAGGTCCAGGCTTAGTCTAGAAGAAAAGAGTGTGCTGGAAATAAGGAAGGGAAAGACAAATTGGGGGCATATAATGCATAGAGAAACCTGAATTTAGAACAGAGATAAAGGCATACAGAATTCTTTGTTGCCTGGTGTCAACACTGCCCTTCAACAATGACCAGAAAATCACTGCCCCTGTGCAGCAGGATAGGAAGCATCACAGGGTTTTAAAACTCAGAGATATGCCCCAGGATCAGGTAATCATCATCATTATTATGGAGATCCTGTTAATTAGGATTTTAAGACTCTCTTGTAAGACTCTCATGTCTTCATGAGAAGTCTCAAAATTCAGGTTATTATTTTCTCTGTGCTCTATGGGATCTACCACGGAAAGGGTTGTCAAGCATTGGAATGAATGCCCAGGGAGGTGGTGGAGATGTTCAGGAAAGGACTGTACCTGGCACTTAGTGCCATGTTCTGGAGATGTGGTGCTGATCAGTTACAGGTTGGACTCAATCTTAGACACATAAATGATTCTGTGATCGTGTAGGTGCTGCTAGGACACATAAATGATAAAATCTCTTTTCTGTGCATATGTGTACTTGCTTGTGTTAAAACGTGGGGTTTTTCATCACAGATGATAGCAGCCTCCTAAACTTGACTCCCTATCCACTGGTAAGAAGACGGAAGCGAAGATTCTTTGGATTGTGTTGTCTTGTCTCAAGTTAGAAGATTAGGCACAGAAGCACCATGGAAACCATGACTTTGATTAAACCACTATTATTTGACCACTGAAAAGATGAAAGCGGCTAATCTTGATTATAAATTATATTTTCTACACTAGGCTATTCATTTTTGTCTTCTGCCCCATCCCCCTTTTCAAATAAGAGTTTTAATACTTTCAAATTATGGTGGTCAAAAAATGGCTGTGGAATAGATCTAGCATATTTAAAACTTTTTAAAGTATGTTTTGCATGCTTACTTTCAATCACTCAAAGAAGACACATGAATTATGATTCATATATAATTTTAGAGGATTTTTTTAATTGTTTGAGCTGCAGCTAAAAGTTTGTGTGTAGTACAGTACTCTTACTAGTATCATATTAAAATCATACTATAACAGTCTTTAAGCATAGCAGAACATTTGATCATTCTCTCACAGTCTTTAAGCATAGGAAACTATTTAAGAGCAAAACTATTAAAGTTCTAAGACATTCAAACAGTATTGTAACAGAATTTGTACAAAATCTCCAGTTGCTTTTTTTGTGCTCTCATTCATATTTTGTCTTCCACTGTATCTCAACTTCAAAGCTTTATAGAAAAATATCTTAATTTATGATAAAAAAATCATATATGAAAATAGATAGGACTTGTAAATACAGAGAAATCATAATATCTATAAACTGTACAATGCTTAGAAGCAACAAATTCCATTTTCAGGCAATAGTATATCTACAAGCTTTTGAAAAAAATAAATAATTTATTGAAGGAAGGTGTATTAAAATAAACAATGTAAAACACAACGCCAACCCATTTTGTTGCCAGTAGAATTCAAAGCATGGTGTCTGCATATCAAGTATTGATCTTATAAGGCATGCCAAAATTATCTCAGACTGTAAGATACTAAACGTTTTACATTGTTAATAAAGTTTTTTATTTAAATTAAATGTTGTCTTGTTTCTAGTTGTATTGCCAGACTATGTATTTTTTTCTAATTTTGTTGTCAGAGTACTACAAAAATTTGTGACAATATTTCCATTTCAACAAGAATATTTACAAAGAGAGATTAAAAAAATATGCATGACTAAATTCTTTAAATAGCACCAAAAAAGGTAACTTCAATGTATTTGAAGATGTCAAGTCATGAACTATTCTTAGGCATATATATTCCGAAGCATCTGAAATGGGGAGATTCCTACACACACAAACTTGTGCTTGTGAGAGCAAACGTTTTTAAGAAGAATGGAATTGAAGTCCACAGCACAATGTTTTTCTGAGTTAATTCCTTAAAGTTCTCTGCACATTTCTCATGAACCTTGTGCTCAGTAATCAGAGCTGTTGTCCTTAACATTCAGCACTAGCATGTCTTCATGAGAAGTCTCAAAGCAATAGACTCACTCTATGATTCCATCCCCACAGATACACTAGATTTTGCAACTGCTAGAACTTTGGAAAAACAACTCCTGGTGTCTAATAACTATCAAAAATACTGACTGCAAAACTGATCAGTAGTTACAATTAACCAATTAATTTTTTTTCAGCATAAGTGAAAAAGAAAGACATTAATGCCAAAAAAAGTGTATGAATTCAAGACTGAATGTACAGTGATGCCATAAGAAAGGGGGAAAGAAAATTTTATACAAGATTTCTTTAAAAGTCCTGTTTTTTGATACACACAGAGAATCAGATGGGCAGATAAAGCAGTGACCTTGTCTAATTCATTACCTGCCCATATATCATCACAAGGAATTTCATATGCCAAGTTACATGACAGCTCATATCTCCGTGTTTTAACCACAGATATTACAATGGAATATACATTAGTGAGACAAATGTATAAACATCTTAATATTACTAAACTCTTGACATCAGTCATATCACAGTAAGTTCCCTAACTTCAGTGAGAAGTATCACATTCTGTGATAGACTTGGACATGTTGTCTTCAAAGCCCTTTGAGACTGCAGTATATTAAAATGTACAATGATATACATCCTTGTACCTTTTGTTATTCTGGAAACTTTGGCAGTATTTCTTCTTCCTCAGCTAAAGACTGCTAAAATGGCAGTCTTTGTTCATTTTGAAGCCTTTCTATAATTCTAAGCAATCTAGCATCTTACCTGAAGCCTTTTGTATTGCTACTAATCCTAATTAGAGACATGCTGTAATTCCCAAGCTTTATAGCCACTTAAGGGTGAATGGAAGTTCTCCTAACAGATAGTGACATGAACCAAGTCCTGGTAAGTATCTGAACTGATGTCAAGGGATAAAAATTGGTTTACTTAGGAATGTAGTGGATTATCTTTTACTACTTGAAAGGAAATAAAACTTTTTAAGCCCCAGAACATGATGTCAGTAAAAGAAAGATAAAAGTTAATGATATTACTACATTTTAGTTTAATGGAATACAGCAATGTAGGATCAGAGTTTGAAAGCTCCCTCAACGAAATGATACACAAACTATTATTTACTTTCCAAGTACTTTGAAATACTTCACTTTAAACTCCTAAACGTGTGGAAACAAGCAATTCAGGGAGAATACTGAGGGAGAAGAGAATACTTTCTGAATCCTTCTTGGAGTTTGAACATTTTATTTGAAAGTGTTATGAGTTAAAGGCACCATAATTACTTTGCAGGGTAGGTACTTTCAGGAAGCAAGTAAAAATTCCTCTTCCCACCAAATATGTTGTTTCACCAACTCTTTTTTTTTTTTTTATTAAAACTGTGCAGTTCCAGCTTTTCAAATTCTTTATAGCCACCTTCCACTGGTAGCACATATTTTTCACAGATATTTCATGTGAAAAAGATACCATTTTTTTAATGTGAAAAAAAATATTTCATGTGTCATAAATTACCAATCTAAGAAATCAAATATCTATGTACACTGTAAGGTCTACATTTTTCAGAGCAGAATCAAGATACAAGCTTCCAGCAGTAGACAGCACACTCACACATGCGGCAGGTTGCATGTTAATTTACCCAAAATGAGAACTTACCCTGCAAAATCAGCATGTTAATTTACATAATAGGTCCATTATATCCAATACAACTCAGAAAATCTGTGTCAGAGAATGGGAGAAATACAATAACCAACTTCCATCCCATCTGAGGAATAAATATACAGTGGTGCATTAAATGCCTATTGGTCTCACATCCGTGTAATGGTGAAATTCCTTATTACCTCTGTAAGAGATACCATACCTATTGTCCAGCTTCATGGACAAGAAGCAAGAGAAGCTAAAGATACATCTTCTGCTTGTACTTAGTCGTAAGTTACTCCAGTCAATGAGGAGACTTGTAGCAGTATTTTGGGAAGATTGTGGTCCTGTTTAAGTTCTAGTACCTTGAAGGCACTGACTGACATGCAGGAAAAGTTACCCTTTAACAAGGGTACAATCAACCTTCAGCACTATCAACCTTTTCTGCTTCAAAAAGAACTGAGCTGGGCTAAATATAGGTGGGCAGGACATATTTTCTAGGGATCATGGTGTGGCAAAAGCTGTAATAATGACTTTTAACTGTTCTACAGCTGAATAATTCATCTCAAATCCAAAACTGTTTTCCCTGAGATTCTGTTTTCTTGTAGCAGTTTTACAAAAGTATCCCCAGCCATGTTTGAAGAGGTATACCTTTATTCTTTAATTGGCGGTTGTACCCTCTAATGCAGTGTTTGGTTTTTTCAACTTAGGCTGTTCCCAGCATATGCATAATCTGCTGTCCAGATCTAGCCTCATGTTGCCAGTTTTAGACATTTTCCACCCTGAACTCACTTGGCTTTGAACTTCCAGTCTCCATCTCACTAGTACTTTGAGCCTTTACCTTATTTTGTGTCCTCTCTAAAATTCCTTGATTGGTATTTCTCTCACTTCCATTTTTTAAAAATGTATTAAGTGCTAGTAGTAATGGGAATTCTAGTGTCCAAGAGAGCCCCTGTTTCTATTTGTCCAGTCTGTTGCTGTCTAATGCAATGGGTCATTTGACCCATTATATGTACTCAGGTCCCTCTTCCAGAAATTATTTCTAGCTCTTCTGGGACTGCAGTTCTTTGACGAAAACAAAGTTTCTACCAATTTTCAGCCTAAATCTACTCCTGGACAATTAATAACATATACAATGTGTTTCTCCCAGGTCAACTTTATTCTTTGTTAAAATTCTCTGATGGTCAAAATTCTGCCATGATATTTTATAAACTATTATGCTAGATTAAAACCTCAGGAAAATACAAAGTACAGACAAATAAGGATTAATCATTCCTTTACAGTACACTTTCTCAGTGGGACAAATATTTAGCTTACACAGAAAACTAAACCACATCTTGAGTACATCTTGCTGAAGTTTAAATGAACGCTACCAAACAGCCTTTTTCAGATTTCTCTCCTTTATTGCTAGGTTTCTTTATTCTTGCACCTCTTTTGTTTTCTGCTACCACCACCTCATTTCGTGTTTTTACCTAAATTCATCTTCACAGACTGTTATACTAGAACTTCTTGTGAGCAGTATAAATGTGCTGGCATTCTTACTACAGAAGCATTTTTGACATATTTTTCTCTATTCACCCTTATTATTACTTACTGTGATTTGCATCTTAGAATTTCTGTTAATGCCTTTCTCAGGTACTACTGCCATGGGGCAGAGGTGTTGTAGTAAGAGGCAACAAGTGTGTGTTTGCCCAAGAGAGTCTGTGATGTGGTAATTTTCACAAGGTAGATAAGTTGGCTGCCCAAGACATGGCAATGTCAGTAAAACCTTTTAGCAGCTTCAACACTGGCTCTACTGTGGAGACTTCAGAGCACAACTGAATCATCAGTTCAGTGAAAAAGTTTGGCATGTGTGACATTTTGTTTTGCATACATAGAGTTTGTGTCCTTTTTTGACTGGGGAGCAATGACGTGAGGAATTGCAAAAGATGATCTAAAAATACATCCCAGGAGTTCCTAGAACTGATTGTTACATGAAACAGATAACAAGCACCATGTCAGGTTCATTACTCACGATACTTTTCAGAGGGGCCTGCAGCTATGACATTCTTTCCTGCTGTCAACTAAAAAAGCACTGAGTAAATACAGAGTTCAATATGCATTATCTCAGCAGCTTAAAGAACAAGCCTGTAAATGTTATTAGTCCATTCCAAGTTCACAGCTAGATGCTGCAGTTTTTTTCTATCCATAATTGCGTTATTGCAATTCTGAGCTATGATTCTTCACTATGACTTATTTTTGAAAGGAAAAAGAAGCCAAAACCTTACAGTTATAAAGCTGTATAATAATACTGCATCACAAAGAATTTATTTTTCTTTTTATTCTACCACTTGAGTACCTATGGCTAAGACTTTTTGTTTGTCCATCATTTATGCTCCCTTGCAGAGTGCACAAGAACCAACACATACCATTGAAGAGAATACAACAGAGGAAGTATCTGACTAAACTGCAGGAAATATTCAGGAAAGAGTCCTAAAAACAACACAAGTTGACACTACCAAATGACTAAATCTTTAAAGTAATATTCCTACAAATTTCAATGGTAGTAGAGCATGTTGTGGTAACACCGTTGCCTTTTTGCCCAACCTGGAAATTAAACTTGAGATCTTTTTATTAAGGAGGTAATATAAAAGGGGATCTTTACTTGAAGGCCTTCAGGAGCAGTTATGGAAAGATATCCACAAAAGCCCACCCCACCCCACAGGGGTGAGTACATTTTTATAGGTTTTAGGAAATTAGCATAACTGATAAAAAGCACCAATTAGGAGGACAAGTGGTGACACAATTCCCCCCAGGTCAAGCCCCTCCTCTGGAGCCCCTCTTCAGCACTAGTTTTACTTTTTCCATGAGAATGTATCTCAAAGAGTTGTTCTCAGCCTTGGTTCACAGGAAGAACCAAGATAGTACCTTATACCTGTCGGGGCTTGGAGCTCTGGAATTTGTTTTATCCTTCTGCTTAGGGAAAGGCCAT